ATTTCGTACGCTTATGATTTCATTATTAAAACTATTCAGGAACAATATTTTGCAAAAGATATAGCACGTTTATTAGAAAAAGAACTCGTCGTAGACAAGAAATTGCTCCCTTTTATTCCTTTTTAGATTTCTCTGAAATTGTACGTGATGGAGGAAGCTTACAAAATGCAAATATGGATTTTAATAATAAATTTCCTATATTGTTGCCCGCAAATGATCATATTGTTTCTTTACTCATTAAAAAGGAGCATTGTAGATTAGGTTACAGTAGTCACCAAAATGTGTTATAGAATTTGCGTCTACCATGTTGGCCTTTAAGTGGGGTCTAGTATGTTAAACTCATTATCAAAAAATGCATTTCATATTATAGATTCCGCTGTATAGTATATATATATATATATATATATATATATATATATATATATATATATATATATATATATATATATGTTATTTTGATTTGTTTGCATGGCTACAAAAGCCTTTCATTTAGAGTTGGTTAGTGAGTTATCCTATAGAGCTTTTTTGGCAACGTTTAAACGATGTATTTCTCGCTGAGACAAACCCACACTATATATAGTGACAACGGTACCAACTTTATTGGTGCAAATAATCAACTTAAGAAATTAAGTAATTTCTTCAAATAAAATTCCGAATTTGACTAAATTAGAGTTTATTAGGTCAAACCAGATAGGCTCATATGAGATTATGCCCATTACAAATATATATATATTATATATATATATATATATATATATATATATATATATATATATATATATATATAACTACTTTATATATATATATATATATATATATATATATATATATATATATATATATATATATATACAAGAAATACTGGATATTAGTGACTGTTGATATAAACAAACAACACAGTTTATTAGGGTTGCAGTCAGAATATTGGCCGGTATGTTAAAAAAACACTCTTTTGACTTTTTGTCGAGCTTTCGGAATGGTTTTATTCTTTTTTCAAGACATAGTCGTTGAGATTATTTTTATAAGCATTGATACTCAACATTTATACCACACATTAAAATATACAATTATGGACATAATACATCATAAAATTTTTAAAATTTGTTGTAAAAATAGTAAAACTTGATTGATGGCATGTTTTACTGGTGTATATTAACTCATACAGAGAATGGAAAGGTATTTCTATCCATTCTCTGTATGAGTTAATATACACCAGTAAAACATGCCATCAATCAAGTTTTACTATTTTTACAACAAATTTTAAAAATTTTATGATGTATTATGTCCATAATTGTATATTTTAATGTGTGGTATAAATGTTGAGTATCAATGCTTATAAAAATAATCTCAACGACTATGTCTTGAAAAAGGAATAAAACCATTCCGAAAGCTCGACAAAAAGTCAAAAAAGTGTTTTTTTAACATCCCGGCCAATATTCTGACTGCAACCCTAATAAACTGTGTTGTTTGTATATATATATATATATATATATATATATATATATATATATATATATATATATATATATATATATATATATATATATATATATTAACGTACAGTATTAAAATTAATCGCTGTAATTGGTTACAAACTACAAACTTCTTATGGTGACCTATCCAATTAGTGGATGTTGGCGACAATTCTGGAATACTCCTCTCGATCTTGTGTGGCTCTAAAAAGTGCATGGGCATCGAGATTTGTCCAATCCCTTATGTTTTTAAACCATGAGTATTTCTTTCTTCCAATGCCTCGTTTTCCTTCTATCTTCCCTTCCATAATAAGCTTTAAGAACTGGTACTTGAAATTTCGAAATATATGACCCAGATAAGCAGTTTTCTTCTTTTTATTATTGGCAGCAATTCTCGTTCTCTGCCCATTCGATTTAATACTTCGGCATTTGATGTGTGACAAACTACAAACTAAGTGAAATTGAAGTCTTAATTATAAATAAAACCAAAAATTAATTAAATATAAAACGAGATGAATTAAAATAAACAAAAAAGTGCTAACTTGTCAAGCTGTTTTTATCTCATTTTTAAATAAAGCCAAGGAGACATCAAGTATTTCTAAATTGTTAAAAAAAAATTATATTTTTTAGTATTCGCTCAATGGGTGAGTGCATACCATAATTTGTACGGTGAAAAGGTATATAAAACAGATCAACAGATGGGGCGGTGAAAGGAAAAGTGGTGTAAGTCATCTGAGCATCATTTTGAGATATAAAAGGTTTTACTAGAAACGTTGTAATTCTGTGAAACATTTATGAACATGCTTGTGATTTTTTTTTATTTACTAAGAACATGTTCAACTCTATTAACATTTTTGTAAAAATAAAACTATGTTAAGGGTAGTTTTTAAGGGTTGAAATGACTTACACCACTTTTCCTTTAAGAGTTTAAAGAGAATGTAAAGAAAGCAAAACATGTTTATTGTTTTTACATTAGAAAATCAAATATAAATTCACTAGTTTATTAGTCATTGTTTTCTTCTACATCAGGAAGTGGTCCAGCTTCGTCATTGACTTCATCAGATGATAGAAGATTTCTAAAATAAGAATGGTGGACTGGAGGAATGTATGGTAGTAAATCACACATATCCCGTTTTTTAGCTGGCATTACTCGTCGAGGTGCTGTGTACAGGCAATCCTGTTGAAGATTTTTCAACAATGTTGGTCTTCCCTTCTGCTTGCTTTGAAGGATATTAATTTGTGAAAAGGAAAAATCTTCATTTAATGTTTCTTTATAGAACAGTGAAAATGGCTCATCTTTTTTGACTCTAATCCATTGCATTTTTAACCATGACACTGGTTGGTTATCAGTATTGGTTTTTCTTTTTGAAATTGATTTAGTGAGATTTTTCAGATCTTTAAAGTCTTCTCTAAGCATTTTTGTGAAAATGAAAGCTTTTTTCTTTCTACACCGAACTATGACTGAAAACCAATCTTCAGGCACATAAATCAGTTTGCCTTTAGAGTGAGTTTCAATTGAACCAAAGTCGGAGTCGTTTGGTAAGTACGAGTGTCCGCTTATCATAAACTTGTGATCAATTATTTCGATAGTATTGTTTTCACTTTGAACTAATCGTAACAAGGCCAAGGCAAAATTCCAGTTTCTATTTTGGCCGGTGCAGCTGTCACTGTATAATACAACATGCTTTGAATTTGCTGCACGTAATTCTATGTGCTTTGTGACACAGCCACTGATTTCCTGAGATCCTCTCGAAGCTGTTGTTTCATCCCATCCATACATGTAGCCTAAGCCAGATGATAGCTCATGGCAGCCCAAATTGTAAATGTACATATTACGTTTATAGTATGCGATAGATGTGGTTAGTTTTGGGAAAGGTAGGGCTTTCTCTAAGTCAAACGTGAATGCATAGTAAGAATCGTCAGCCTGGGCCTTTTCTGTATCTTTTTTCATAGAAGTACGTGCCAGCTCGGCCTTCCTAAGATGGAGTTCGTGCTCAACTTCAATCTGTTTTATCTCATTAGCATCTGTTGTTGCAGCTTTTTTTAATTTGTAAGCATCACACTTAGAGCACGTATCTTTTTGTGGTATATGAAAATGAAGGTTGTACTCATTATTGAATGTACGGCGATAAATATCACTGGAAACGGGGACAATAACTTGTTCCTGACAGTACTCACTGTACAAACGATACAGCAGGGTAACATTAAGGTCAGAAGATAGATACCTACGATTGGGATTCTTATTCCTTGTGTAGTGCGATTGGTAAGATGGAAAATTTTGAATATGTTTCCGGACACAGTTCATACGTTCTTCAGATATTTTATTAGTTGGTATACCATGGCCTCGATTATCTGAACCAGGTGGTTCCTCTTGTTTTATCTTAATAATGGCCCGTGACATTCGGCCATCAGATATCTGAAAGGTTCCAAGAAAGTATTTTTTACATACTTTCGTGGTTTCGCCTTGTTTTTGAATGAAATATTGGTTAGACACTGTCTTACCAGGTCGTGACTGATCCCTAGGACGTTTTATTTCAGGTTTCTTTTGTTTGATCAAACCACAAATAAAAGCATTCTGTGCTGTAAATGATTTCAATTTCCAGAATGAATCAAATGCTTTTTTTCTGTCTTCACATGACATAGTTTCAAAACAGTTTTTATTGCAAAAACAGTTGTTGTTTGAAAAAGTTTTACCTGCCACTACTTTTCCTTTTGTTGTCTTATACTCACAACCTGAGTTGCGAAGTCGCTTTATTTTTTCTTTTTTATTTTCATGCCTCTGTCGTTTTCGTGCTCTCTTGGGTTGTTGAACTTCTACTTCTCGAATACTTTCGCTTTCATGGTCTTGCAGAGGGACTTCCTCATTTGATTCACAGTCTGAAACAAACCAACTTTATTAAAATAACACTCAAAAACGTTGTTCTATTTATACGAGTTTATTTATTGTTAGTGTAGAGAATTCAACATTTTGAGGTTAGTTTTTATTTTATACAAATAAATATAATACACAAGTTTAACTTACCAATACTTTCTTGTTGAGAATCAGAAGGTACCCACTCCTCATCTCCTGAGTAAGCGAAAATACTAGGCTCAACACTCACATCACTTAAACTGTCGTTATCCATTGTATTAAAAAATCACAACTACAAAATACTAAACAACTGTCATAGGAATGACGGAATAGTGGTGTAAGTCTGACTTGCACCACTATTCCCTCTACTACAACAGAGATTTTGTTTGACTGTCAAGTTTGTGCTGCTATCTGTGAGCAAATGGAAGACTTATGACTTACACCACTATTGCGTCTGATAGATTTAAATATGGAGATTTTGAATATGCAATTATCTCTATTCTATAAAAAAAGTGACTTACACCACTTTTCCTTTCACCGCCTCATATATGAGACCAAAATTTCTAAAAACCAAAGCTATTTAAAAATACAGTATTCCTATTATTACTCTATAGAAAATTGATCTATTTATCTCGTACTTTTATAAATCATTTAATAATAATTAAATCTTATTTTAGCATACCCTTCGGTTGTTGGTGGAAAATTCTTTAAATACCTTCATAACTTTGGTAGAAACTCCTTGTTTGACGTGTTTACAAGTTGAAGAGGACTATGAATGGGGCATCGATTTAATTAACAGTCCTTTCATATCCAAGACACAGCCAATATTCAGTTTACAGTTAAAAATGCAGGAATCTGGAGCATATTATTCGACAAGCCCAGAAAATTTTCAGGTAATTAATATTTGTCAAAAGTAATTATGTTTTAAATAATCATTTTATTTTAGATATATATTGTGATTACATCACAAATTCTAAAATAAATTATTACTAATAGCTTCCCGTTTTTATGAACAATATTCAAATTATTTCTTTGAGCTACTACGATTTGACCTATTTTCTTTTATTTTAAAAAAATTATATATTATCGGCATAAATGAACTGCCCAATCCATTAAAGCAAACAGTAACGTCTATATACATTTTATTTATTTAATACAGTGCAGATTATAAAGAAAATTAGCTTTATCAAGATTCTACAAATGCCTTCAACTCAGGAGAGAATACCTTAGCCTCATATGCTTTAAGGGTATTAGCTATTCCACAGGTACCTGTTTATAAAAAACACAATTACAGATAGATTTCCATCGATGATTAATTATCGAAAAAGATTGGATCCTTCGTTTTATCATCGAGTAAAAGCAATGTTAATAAGCTTACACAGACTAAGTCCACCCACTTACAATATTCCTAAAGTCAGCAAACACATGTTACCATAGACAATTGCTCTCTCTGATTATAATACAAACATTTCTGCATTCAAGAAATGTGACACGTCAACAAAAATCTATAAACAGAACAAGTTTAAGATATTAAATGGTTTTTAAATAAAGTAATTTTTTTATATAGCCCTTTTTCTATTCGAATTGTTAAATAAAGGCCTCTCCCATTTCTCGCCATTCATCCCTGTTGTGTGCTAGGCGTTTCCACATTGGTCCTGAGACTCTTTTGATATCGTCGCTCCAGCGCATTTGAGGTCTTCAGCCCATTGTCTTCAGCCCAGGTCTCCAGCCCAACAGAGGTTGTGTCCAGCCCATTTCCATTTTAATCTAGCTGCTTGTTTCGCGGCGTCCTTTATTTTTGTTTTGTTCCGGATTGCTTCGTTCGTTTGCCGATCTATTAGTGAGATACCAAGCATCTGTCGTTCCATGGCTCGCTAAGTTTTTCAAATCTTGTCCATGTTCTTTTTTGTGAATGTCCAGGTTTGAGCTCCGTAAATGATAACGGGAAGGATACAAGAATCGAACACTTTGGTTCGAAGGTTTTGGGGTATCTTTTTGTCTTTCAGTATGTATGAGAGTTTTCCAAATGCGGCCCATCCCATTCTTACTCGTCTGCTTATTTCGGTAGTTTGGTTTTCTTTGTTTACCTTGATATTCTGACCCAGATATATGTATTCTTCTACATGTTCCACTTTTGTTCCTTGGATGGTTATCTTCGGTTGATCATCTTTATTCGACATTAGCTTAGTTTTACTCAGATTCCTTTTCAGTCCTTTTTTTATGGATTCCGTATGAAGCTCATCGATCATCGTCTTCAGTTCTTTCCAGCTGTCGGCTATTAGTACTACGTCATCTGCATCTATCTTAGATGGTTTAAATACTTTCCGTTTATCTATAGTCCCTTCGTTTCCCAATTTAGTGATTTAAAGATGTCTTCAAGTGCGGCAGTAAATAGTTTTGGAGATATGGTGTCTCCCTGTCTTACTTCTCGGTGAATTTTTATTGACCTCGTTTTCATTCCGTTTTCCATCGTGACTATCATTTCAGCGTGTTGATATATATATATATATATATATATATATATATATATATATATATATATATATATATATATATATATATATGTATTAATATCCTATATCTAGAATCTATTCTGCTGTTGACCAGTGCTTCCTCAATAGCCCATAATTCTATGCTGTCAAAAGCTTTCTCGTAGTCTATAAATGCTAAATAGATTGGTAAATTGTATTCGTTAACTTTTTCTATTAGGACCTTTAGTGTGTGAAGATGGTTACATGTACTAAACCCTTTTCTAAATCCGGCTTGCTCTACTGGTTGATATACATCGAACTTTGTTGTCAATCTATTTGTAATTATTTTTGTGAATGTTTTATAAAGTTGTGATAGTAGTGATATTGGACGATAATTTTTCAGGTCTGTATTGTCACCTTTTTTGTGTATTAATATTATGTTAGCAGTATTTCATTCCTTTGGTATATTTCCTTCAAATATGCATTTATTAAAAAGTATTTTTAGGTACCTGATGACTTCTTCTCCGCCTTCTTTCAACATTTCGGCCAGAATTACATCCTTATTTTAATATATCATCCTTATAAAGTAATTACATCCTTATTTTCACCGACGCACGCATCAAAATCTGCAAACAGAGTAGAAGTGACTTTTTTCAATATATAACTAACTATAACCAGCTCCCTCCCCAAACTTCCACATTCTCCACTGAACACTTTGTGTCATTAATGTTTGTCAACACACATGATAATAAATACTCTCTAATCATTAACGAGGAGATGACCAAATAGTAATAGAAGGTGTTAAAGTAAGATGCAAGAAACTGCTGGAAGTAGTAACTGAACTATTCAACCTATGTCTAAACGAAGGTATTGTCACTACAAAATGGAACAATGCAATTACTATCCTAATACACAAAAAAGGAGATATATCAGATCTAGAGAATTATAGACCGATAAGTCTGTTGTCACATCTCTACAAATGGTTTACCAAGATCATCACAAAACGTTTAGAACGAAAATTAGATTTCTATCAATCTAAGGAGCAAGCTGGGTTTAGGAAAGGTTATGAAACAAATGACAACCTACAAGCACTTAAAATACTAATTGAAAAATGTGTTGAATATAATAAACCACTCACGTTGATTTTCATAGACTTCAAGAAAGCTTTTGATACCGTGGAATTACTGGCAGTATTAGGAGCATTAGAACAAAGCCGAGTAGACTATAGATATACAAATTTGATAAAACATATATACAACAACGCAACAGCATCTGTTAAACTCCATGACTTTACCGATAAATATAGAATTGAGTGAGGAATTAGACAGGGCGACACCATCTCACCCAACTATTCACTGCAGCTCTGGAATATGCCTTTAAAAAACTAGATTGGGCTAAAATTGGAATAAATATTGATGGTGAATACTTAAGCCACTTGCGCTTTGTAGATGATATTGTCATTATAGCCGAGAGTTTAAATGAAGCTCACAAAATGATGGAAGAACTAAAACAGGCAATAGAACAAATAGGCCTGAACATAAACTTTGAAAAAACAAAATACATGACCAATTTAGTTCCAAGTGATGTTATGAGGGTAGATGGGAACGAAGTACATCAGGTCTTTAGCTATATCTATTTAGGGCATGAAATTAGAATAGGAAAAGACAATCAAACTTGTGAGATCCAGCGTCGCATAGGCTTGGGATGGGCAGCATTTGGTAAGATCCGAGGTATTCTAAAAGGAACGCTACCGATTTGCTTAAAGAAAAAGGTTTACAACCAATGCATACTGCCAGTAATAACATATGGTTCCGAAACAATAACTTTAACCAAACATTCTGCAAATAAATTGAGAGTAACCCAAAGAAAAATGGAAAGAGCAATGTTGGGAATAACTAGAAGAGATATGGTACGAAATAGGATAGTGAGAGAGAGGACTAAAGTGACAGATGTCATAGAAAACCAAGACCAAAAGAGTTATAGAATGGAGACCTAGAGAAGACAAAAGACACCGAGGCAGACCACGAAAAAGATGGATGGACGACTTGAGAAAAACAGTCGGAAATTGGATACAGAAGGCGCAAGATAGAGAACAGTGGAAGAACATGGAGGAGACCTACATCCAACAGTGGATGCAAGAGGTTGAGGAATGATGATGATGATGATGATGAATCATTAACGAGAATGTCGTGGGGTCGTATTTGTTTTTGGTCGTAAGTTTTGAAATTAGGTATTTTCTTCAAGACAATGAATTCATAGAATACCCGAGGTAATTGATTGGATTACATTAAAATAAATGCTCAACATGTTCTCCACCTTGTTGTTGGCAATAACACAGTCTCCTATAAAACTCGTTCCGAACTTTGTTTAAAGTTTGAGGTGAAGTATTCCGTATTTCTGTAGTTATCCTTACTTTTTGAGGTCTTCAATGATAGTTGATTGTGTTGCATATACTTTGTTCTTGAGATAACCCCACAAAAAAATCCAAAGGCGTAAGATCTGGCGACCTAGCTGGCCGCTCACTAGTCCTCTTCATCAAATCCACTTATTGAAGAAGATTTCATTCAAGTAATTTCTCACCATTAAAGCATAATGGGGTGTTGCACCGTCCTGCTGTAACCAGACAGTTTCATGCGGTAGGGTCGGATCTATTGGATTGGGATATAAGTTAGCCAACTAAGGAAGAACATCGTCTCTTAGCATGCTTAGGTAAATATTTTTGCGCTATCAAATTATCATCTATAAATATAGGACCAATAATATGATCTCCTATAACACCCGCCCAAACATTCGACTTTTGAAGATACTGAGTGTGTGTCTCACGCATCCAATGAGGATTATCCGATGACCAATATCTACAGTTCTGTCAGTTTACCTCTCCGTTCAATGTAAATTTTGATTCATCAGAAAAAAGAATTTGCCAAGAGCTATTTTATTTGTTAATTTTATCCATCATTCTTTTGCAGAAATCCATTCTACGATCCGAATCGTCTTCTGTTAGCTCCTGCACAAATGTCAATTTATATGGATGAAGTTTTCTTCATGGAGACACCTTAGGACAGTTGTGTGACTCACATTATTTTGACATGCAATTTGAAGTGAACTTGACGTTGGATTCCCTGCGACACTTAACAAAATATCCACTTTTACTTCATCTTCAATGAAGTTCGATTTTATTTTTAATGGTTTGGCATATCTAAGTTCTCTGAACTGTGCATACATTTTAGACACAGTACCTTGTGAAATATTAGGCAGCTGAGGATACCTCTGATTAAATAAGTTTACTACTTCAACTTGACTTCTACAATTCTCCCCGTAACCGATCATCATTAAAATCTCAATTCGGTGGTCCTTAGTTAAATATTTAATTTTTATTTCTGCAAGAAATTAGTTTTTAATTAATAATTTATTATTTTAATGTA